AGACTGGGTGTTGGGAGGCAATGAGCAGTCTCTGCTATGTTGGCCGACTTATGTTTTCTGCTGTTTGAGTCCATTTTAGAAAACTTTCAACAAAAATTGTTCTTTGGGATTTTTTTTTTTTTTTGGCATACTGTTTTATGCTGTTTTTTCTGTTACAGTCTCCTTCTTGTTTCTATTTTTGGTTTATTGGCATTTTTTTTTCTTTTTGACTGGTCTGTGGCTTGTATATTTCAATATTTAGAGAATCAGCTCCTGCCTTTGACAGCTGTTTTTGTTTGATTGTTTTTCTTATTCGTTAGTTTCTTTATTGTTTCTTCTTTATGGCTTGTTAATTATTTCTCTCCAGTTGAATGTTTAATATTTTCATTATTTCTAAAAATTTTACTTGAAAGTATTTAGGGATATAAATTTATTCTCTTTAAAGCTTTGGCATCAACCCATGCATTTTAAATCTATAATACTCTTATTTTCTAACTCAAAGTTCTCTCTCTGACTTACTAGCCATTTCAGGAGGGTTTATTTTAATTTCCAGGTGATATGGGGTTTTCCCTTCTCCCTTCAAACTTCCATTTACATTTGTAATTCTACCACATCATGGTTAGAGAATGTAGTGTATTCAATTTCTTCTTTTTATTGATATTCCTTGGTCAGTAATATATGATTAATTTTAGCAAATGCTGCATGAATGCTTGAAAGTAATGAGTGTAAGTTTCAATATACTCTGTATCTCTGATGTTCTTTGAATTTATAATAGCCTTGCTTTATTTATTATAATTCTTGTTTTTCACAAGATAGTCATATCATTTCAGATTAGATTAAAATTTGCTATGTTTATTGAGCAAAACCTCAGTACTGAATCTTAGGGCGCCAGGTGCCCATTCAGGGCAGGAGCAGATTTGACAGGTAAAGCAGACAGAGTCTCTAATTGAGGAGCCAGGCAACTGCTGCTAACAAGCTGAGTTCCTCTTTAGCTCCACATGGTTGCTTACTGATTCTATCTTTAGAAAGAATCATCAGACCTTCTGATCAGGATGTCTGCTTTTCTTGTTGGATTTACAAACAATTGTTTTGTAAGACAATGTTGCTGTAGCCCAGTCCAAAGGTTATTTTACCTAGTTCAAATATTCCTAAGGTTCAAGGAACAAGAGGTGCCAGGTAGCCCTAGCTGGTTTGGCTCAGTGGATAGAGCATCAGCCTGTGGACTGACGGGTCCCAGGTTCAATTCCGGTCAAGGGCACATACCTGAGTTGCCGGCTTGATCCCCAGTGGGGGACATGCAGGAGGCAGGCAATCAATGATTCTCATCATTGATGTTTCTACCTCTTTTTCCCTCTCCCTCATCATTGATATTTCTATCTCTCTTTCCCTCTCCCTTCCTCTCTGAAATCAATAAAGATATATTTTTTAAAAAAGGTGCCAGGTAGTTGCTCTGTCTCCATTTTCAAAGGGCTCCACATATCAACTTTTCACATCACAACAAGCTGATTTAGTGGAAAAGGTGTGGACATTGGGATTAGATTGATTTGGAGTCCGGGGTGGCTTAGGAGAAGTAAATTAATTTTTCTAATCCTCAGTTTTCTCATCAATATATATAATTCCCATTGGGTTGATGTGAAGATCAAATGAGAAGTATTTTAAAAGCTTCTTGTACAATGTTTGACCTCCTGTGTGTGACTACATTTAATAGTATTAAAAATCTCAGGATCTTCAGGAGAAAAAATATTTTTTTCTCTCTGATCTTGGGGGTTAATCTTGTGTTCTTCAGGGAGGTCATGCTTACTTGCGTGTCAGGATTCCAACATGGTAGGTCTGAGATTGCCAAGGCGGACTGGTTTTCATGGCTTATTTCTCTTTCTCAGACATGTCTGTAGGACTCCACTCCTTCTAGGGAGGGGAACAAAGAGGCGGAGATCATGGCTGCTGTGATTTCTCCAGCTGGATCTCTGGTAAGTTTGGGTTTCCTTTGTTTCTGATCTGCTGTCTGGGTTTGAGGGCGTCTTTTCCTAAAGTCTTGTGACTTCTCTACCTTGTCCACATTCCTCCTGGTAACTGAATCAAATTGTTTGATTTATGAGTAAAGGCTGTAGTCTATAGGAAGATTCAATACACATACTGAAGCAAATTTCAAGATCTTTCAAAAAATATCAGGGCTATTGTTAGATATGATAGGCAGTCTGGGAATTTACTTATGATGTTAAATGTGTTTTGTTTCCAGGAAATTTCAGTGATTTAAGGGGTAGTAAAATGGGATATTTTCCAATTGAAAATTTCATTTAGAAAATTTTGGGGAAAAATAAATGTACACACACACACACTCAATCTCTTAATTCATAGGGAGCATTCCCCTTGTGCCCACTCTCAGTGATTTCCTCTTTTTTACCCATTAAGAAGTGATCAAGCTTAATAGATGACATGGAGAGAAGAAGTAGTTTAAGACACAGTGCTTGGCTATAGGGAGCTTACAGTCTCATTGAGATAAGGCACAAAAGAAATAGTTACATAATTTATTTAGGTAAGTAATAGTTGTTTAGCAATATGATAAAGATGATGAGTACTATGTAAGGAAAGAAATGGGACTTTAGTATGGGCTAAATTGGTCATAGAAAGCTCATGAGGATAGATTTAAACTGGTATTCAATTACAAATAGGAGTTTAAATTGTCAAAGTATTTGTGAAGGTACTTCAAGTGAGAAAGAAGTTTAGGGCAAGACTCTGAGGCAGAGAAACAGTGGGTGAGCTAGTGATTCAAGATGGAAAATTGAAAGATAGGAGTGGACATGAAATATTTAAGCTGAATCTTTTAATGTTTCTCTGAAGATATTGAAGTGTGTATGTGTGTGTGATCGCGCGCACGCGCCTGTGTGCATGGGTGTGTTTGAGATGGGTATAGATGTGATGAAAGCTGTGTTTTAGCAGTGACTTTTGAAATACGCAGATTCAGAAGAAAGGTACTGCCTACAAATAGAATTTGTTATAGTATGATCCATAATAACCTGCACTAGTGATCTTTTATTCTTTGTAGTCATATATATAACATGTAACTAGTCCTTAAAACATACCCTTGAAAAGATTAATAAAAACAAAACCGTTAGACTTTATTAGTAGACCCAAAGTATCTGTCTAGTATTGGCCTGATCAAACCCATCCCTAATTATCAGAGGTTGAAGTTCACATCATTGTACCAACTTGGGAGGGGAGAGCTAAGACAGTGGTTCCCAAACTTATTTGGCCTACCGCCCCCTTTCCAGAAAAAATATTACTCAGCACCCCCTGGAAATTAATTTTTTTTTAATTTTAATAGTAATTAAACAGAAAGATATATGTATTAATGTTTCTACCTTTTTCGTAAAACATAGTAAAGAAAGGTGTAAATTAGAAACATTGAAGTTTGAAATTATGAAACTATTTATTGAACTCAGAATAGAAAGGTAAAACAAAAAAAGTTAAAACAAATGCACCTGTGGCCATCACCGCCCCCCTGGATCGCTGCAGCGCCCACCAGGGGGTGGTAGCGCCCACTTTGGGAATCACTGAGCTAAGATAACATTTTTCTGAATGAAATTTAAGTAAATACCTTTACCCATATTTTTTTTTAAATGACACAAAATCTAAAATTGATAAGCTCTACTAGAAGGTATAGTAAAATTTCATTTCATCTATAAAATCAGGCTCTTGTAGAGAGAGAGTTTCTAAGGTTTGGAAGAAAACAATGTTATGAGAGGTCCCTGAAAATATTTCCTGAGGTTCGAGAATGCTGCCCTCCCTAACACTGCAGTGATCCAACTGTAGAAAACAGATGGTGTTGGTAGATTTTGAATATTATTCTTGAGTAAGATAGATACTTTCTGAGGAATAGATTTCATCCCTTATGAAAAAGGAGAATTATGTAGTATCTAAAGGCCTCTTTTAAACACTGCAGTTATATCTTTCTCAGTCGTGTGTGTGTGTGTGTGTGTGTGTGTGTGTGTGTGTTATAGTTTCAACTAAGGTGAAAGGAGATGATGATTGGATGTTACTCTGGGACCTTGATATCAGCCATCCCTAAATAAAACAGTAGAGGAGGTCATCCCCTATGTACTACATCCACAGTGGACTGCAGGTGTTTTTTGAGGCTCTGCGGGAGGTCCAAGGCAGCCTGTCATTGAGTGTTCTTACCCTGTATCCCTCAGACTCCTGAAGTTTCCCAGCCAGGTGAAGATCATCTACAGGCAGAAGAACCAGAATTGGTAAAGGTAATACTTACCATTGTATGTAAGGGAAATAAAGAGAATGCTCTTTTACTGCCCCCAACTTGTAATGTTCGCAGCCCATTGCATATTCACAATGAATACCATCTTAAGTGATAGCTGTGGCAATCCCAGGGCTGGTAGCATCAATTTGACAAATCTCATTTCTCTCAGTAGTGGCAGCCGTAATTGGTAATGAAGTGTCCTATATCACATGGTCTGATTCTTGCTTCACATTGCAAGACCCAATACCATTAAAAATATCAAGAATATATCAACATCAGTTCCTATTTTTTAAGAATATTCCCATCCATAAGATGAGTTTAAGTTGTTTAGATACTCTTATTTCATTATATTTGTTGTTTACTTTATTTGTGAACATAGAATCTACCTGCTTTTTCCAGAAAAAAATATCAAAATCAGAAATGAATAAATTGTATTAAGATAAATTATCCAAAACCTAGAAATAAGGCAAAAGATATGCCCTTTCAGTGTCATATTAGACCAGCCTACCTAAGGGTCATCTGACATAGCAGGGAAGGTTTTGTTGTTTGACTCAGTATTTATTATTGATTAATATTCAGACCCTTAAAGTTAGATGTTAACTTGTAGAAAATTGAGAAGTTTCAAATTATTTCTACCTAGGAGGAAACATAATCCCAAAAGTTATGGCTTTATTGTCCTTTGGACATTTACCAGGTTTCTATCTAATTTTGCAATCTTCCGCATTTTTTTCCCACTGTCTATACATCTGTTTCTTATACCTGCTGTAAGCCAGCTTGTCAAGCTTGCTTACGTCTCATTAATGACTTAGTACATCTTTGACATACATGTGTTGATTATACTTTTAGGAGAATTATGGTGTGTTTTTTATTTTATGTAGGAGAAGTTCAGCCCCTTTCTCTTTTTTTTAGAATTATGTTTTTACTAGTGGCGTGGTGTACAGATTCGTGCACATTGAAAGGAAATTAATTAGAAGAAAGATTCATGCAGTAATTATGTTACTGCAAAAAATTACATGTCAAAATAGTACATATAATATCTATATATATAAAAGCCTAAGCGAGGGAGCAGATGCTCAGCCTGGCCTGTGCCCTCTCTTAATTGATTTAAGTAGTATTATAAAATTAAAACACACGTGTGATTGGCACCAGCAAGAGCCTTATATGTATCGTGCATGCATGAGTCAACGTTTATTGTTAAATTGCCAGTTGGTTAGATGGTCAATGAATAAATCACAATGTAGTTCACGTTGAATGTCAACAAAAACAACCAAATTCACAATCGACAATGACAGATCGAACACACATGTGTGATTGGCACCAGTGAGAGCTTTATATTTATCATGCATGCGCGAGTCAATGTTTATTTTTAATTGCCAGTGTGGGTCATATATACCAGCTGGCCAGTTGGGACGGTCGGTCACTTAGCCTTTTATATATATAGATGTTTTTGAAAATTATACTTTGAAAGTTGATTTTATTCCAAACATGTTTTGTGTAAAAATAAGTTTTCCTTTTTGTTTTTATGAGAAAATAAATCCTGAGGTTCAGTCTTTACATTAATTTTTTTGAAACATCACTGGACCAATGATTCTTAAAGTGTTCTTTAACATATGACAATTTAGACTTTAACATAAATTACGTGTTATTTCAGACTTTGAATTATGAACCTTAGGAAAATACCATAATTTTTACATGGTGAATAAATCATACGGTTTCTTTTTGTTCTCCTGACAGAGGGAGTCCCTGGCAGAAGATTAATTCTCTCTGGCTCTTCCTTAAATTCTGCACTCTGCTTATAAGCACTGAACTTAGCTTTAATTATAATTTGAGTAGAACCAATTATTTAATAATTTTTAATATTTATTTCTGAAAAAAAAGCAGATAGAATTTTCATAGGGCTTGTGTTGAATCTGTTGATCAGTCTTGGGAATACTGCTATCTTAACAATATTAAGTTTTCCAATAGTATATGGGATGTCTTCTTATTTTGTGTGTGGGGAGGGGGGTTCTTTTAGTGATGTTTTGTATTTTTCAGTGTACAAGTCTTACACATCTTTTGTTAATTTATTCCTGGGTTTTTTTTGGTGGGGGTTGGGTGCTAGTTGCTACTTTAAATAGATTTTTTTCTTCATTTCTTTATTGAGTGTTCATTGCTAGTGTGTAGAAATAATTGACTTAAGTATATTGATCTTGTATCCTGAACCTTGCTAAACTAGTTTTAGTTCTTACAGGTTTTTGTGTATGTGTATGTGTGGGGATTCTTCAGGGTTGTCCATATGCAAGAAAATGTCATCTGTAAATAGAGATGATGTCATTTGCAAATAGAAATTTGTTCCTCTCCAATCTGGATACCTTTTATTTATTTTTCTTGTCTAATTTCCCTTGCTAAAACTTACAATACAATGTTGAAGTGAGGAAAGAGGACATCTTTGTTTTTGTGGTCTCAGGAGTAATGTATATGGCTGTTCACCATAAAGTATGATGTTAGACTTGGGTTTTTATAGATGGTCTTAATCATATTAACAAAGTTTTCTTCTATTTCTGGTTTGTTGGATTTTGTCAAATACTTTTTCTGAGTCTGTTAAGATGATTGTGTGATGTTGGGGTTCTTGTCCCAACATCAAGAAGGGTTCAGGAATCTGGAAAAGGCTGTGCGTAGATTTAATAAGAGTCCAGAGACTAATAAAGAGTCCGGAGACAAAATATAATTTTGAAAGGCATTTTGAAGGTCAGAGGAGCTTAGCTAAAGGAGCTAAATTCTAAGGTCTAAGGTCTTAGGTTCTTGTCGTCCCCAGGACCCCATGCTTTTTATTAACACAACTTGTCCTGAGGCTAGGCAGAGATATACACTTCAAAGGGTCAGGGTTTGGTACAGAGTCCATTGTCAGAATGGGGGAATTAGCCTACGGCTGTTCAGGTGTTTGGCCAGTAGGAGGCAATAACATGTAGATTAAGATGCCTTTTAGCTGTCTGGCAGCCAAGCAATAATCCCTTTTCAGGTTTGGGGAAATGCCTTCAGCCATTCCCAACAGGTGACTACATGTGTGACTCAACTCTGTTGAGTCCCCAAGTTTCATCAACCTTTTGATGAAACTCTTGAAATTATGACATGCTGGAATTGGTCTCTGGCAGTGTGACTTCTGTTCTTTATTATATTAATACTAGAGGCCTGTTGCACGAAAAGATTCGTGCAATAGGCCTTCCCTTCCCCTGGCTGCCAGCACCGGTTTTCCTCCAGCACCGAGGACCCAGGCCATTGCTCCAGCCAGAGCCGCCTTCAAGCCCTCACTCCTCCGCTACGCGCCTACATATGCAAATTAACCGCCATCTTTGTTGGCGGTTAATTTGCATATTGCTCTGATTAGCCAATGGTGGCCGTGGCGAAAATACAGTCAATTTGAATCTTTGTCTATTATTAGATAGGATGGTGTATTACCTTGATTGATTTTCAGATAGTAAATTAACTTTGTATTCCTGGACAAATCCAATTTGGCTATGGTATTTATGATTGCTTTATTTGTTTCTGGATTCAGTTTGCTAGTATTTTGTTGAGAATTCTGTGTATATGTTCATAAGAGATATTGGTCTGCGGTGTTCTTGTGATGTCTTTGTCTACTTTGGTAATACTGGCACCATAGAATGAGTTGGGAATTGTTTCCTTCTATTTTTTGGAAGAGTTAGTGAAGGATTTCTGTTAATTCTTCTGAAAATGTTTGGTGGCTCTCACCAGTGAAGCCATTTGAACCTGGGCTTTTATTTGTGGGAAGTTAATTTATATACCTATTTAGATTTTCTTTGCCTTGAGTCAGTTTTGGTAGTTTGCATCTTACTAGGAATCTGTCCATTTTTTTTCATCCAGCTTATCTAATTTGTTGGCATATAGTTGCTCATATTAGTCCTTTATAATCCTTTTATTTCTGTAAGGTTAGTAGTAATGTCTCCTTTTTCATGTCTGACTTCAGTCATTTGAGTTTTCTTTTCTTTCTCAGTCAATCCAAGTGTTTGTCATTTTGTAATCTTTTCAAAGAACCAAATTTTGCATTTGTTGATTTTCTCTTTTGTCTTTCTGTGCTCTATTTGTTTGCCTTCATTCTAATTTTTTTTTTGTTGTTGAATTTGGATCCCAGGAACTCCTTCATAAGGGCTGGCTGGCCCAGATGGCAGGAACACAGTGTCCTCAGGCAGTTCAGTGCAGAGGCAGGGAGTTCAGTGCAGGCTTCTCCCTGAAGTGCAGTTTGTGTGAAATGCCCCTATGTAGAAAGACTCCTAGGCTCTTTTGTGACTTTTTTCCCCTCTCAGCCACCAGGAGCCCCTCTTGGTCGGTATCTTCTTTCCACAAAACGTATTAGAACTTGTTTTGTGGCCTCCCATACCGTCAGTCCTGGAGAATATTCGTGTACACTTGCAAAGAATATGTGTTCTGCTGTTGTTAAGTGTCTCGGTGTTCTATGGATGTCTAGCTTGTTCATAGTATTTTATTCAAGTTATCTCTTTCTTTGTTGATCCTCTGCATTGTTGTTCTATCCATTATTGAAAATGGGGCATTAAACTCTTTAACTATAATTGTCTTTGTCTTTTCAATTCCATAAATTTTTGCTTCCTGTATTTTGAGGTTCTTTTGTTATGTGAAAATATGTTTAAACTTGTCTTATTGACACAGTAACCAGTTTATCATTAGAAATATCTCTCTTTGTTTCTAGTAAAAATGTTTGTCTATTTTGTCTGATATTAATATTGCCACTTTAGCTATCTTTTCTGTACTGTTTACTTAGTATATTTTTCCCATCCTTTTACAGTAAACTTATTTGTGTTCTTGAATTTAAAGTGTCTTCTGTAGATAGCATATATTTGTATCATTTTAACAAAAGTTCCTTCTGCCAATTTCTCCATTTGATTTAATTTTTCCATCTATTTACTTTTAATTTAATAACTGATAAGGTAGAATCTATATCTTCCATTTTGTTATTTGTTTTTGTATGTCTTGTGTCTTTTTTATTTGTTTCTTCCTCTTTTACTGCTTTTTTTGTGTTAGATATTTTCTAGTACCCCATTTGATAAACCCTTCATTTCTTTCATAATATATTTTTTAGTTACCTTAGTTGTTTCCTTAGGATTATAATTAACATCTTGACATAAAACAATGTATTTTAGATTAATGCTAACTTAGTTTTAATAGTATATAAATCTTTGTTCCAATTTAGCTCCATTCCCTTCTCCCTCCTCTGTTATTATTGTCATACAAATTACACCTTTTATACATTAGAATTTCATCAACACAATTTTATAATTATTACTTTATGCAGTTGTCTTTTAAATAACAAAAGAAAAAGTTACAAAAATATATTTATATTTTTATCTTTTTAGTTACTGGTATTATTTCTTCATATAGGTTTGTGTTACTATCTAGTGTCCTTTCATTTCACTTGAAGGATACCCTTTAGTATTTATTGTAGGCCTGATCTGCTAGCAGTGAATTCTCTCAGTTTTTGTTTATCATTTTTAAGGATAGTTTTGCTGCATATAGAATTCTTTGTTGACATTTTTCTTTCAGCATTCTGGATGTTATACCACTGCCTCCTAGCATCAATGGTGTCTGATGAGAAATTAGCTGACAGTCTATTGAGGATCCCTTGTACATTAGAAGTCTCTTCTCGCTTTGAAGATTCTCTCTACGTCTTTTACCATTTGATTATGATATTTCTAGGCATGGACCTCTTTGATTTTGTCCTACTTGGTGTTCATTGAGATTCTTGTATATGAAGGTTAATTAATGTTTTTCATCAAATTAAGGAAGTTTTGGGCCATTATTTCTTCAAATTTTCTTTCTGCCCACTTCTTTCTTTCCTCTCCTTCTTGGGCTCCCAATATTGGTATTCTTGTTGACCCAACAAATCTCTGTTCATTTTTTTCATTCTTTTTTGCTCTGTTACTCAGTCTGGATAATCTCAATTGATCTTTCTTCAGGTTCACCAATTATTTTTTTCTTCCTGATTATCTTCGTCTGTTCAGGCTTCCATAGCAAAACACAGCAGACTAGATGGCTTATAAACAACAGAAAAAGTTTTTGAAGATTAAAAAAACCTTTTATTTAGAAAGACTGAAATGGTTGTATGCTAATTTGGACAGCTATTTTGTACAAGAAATGATTTGAAACTTTGGTTTTTGATATCTTCCAAGAGTTGGGTTCCATTATGCATGCTTTGTTCTTTCATTAAACCTGAGAAAATATACAATGATTTTTCAACAAGTGATTTATTCTCCCTTTCCATGTTTAGAAATCCGTATGATCCCTTCGACAGTTCCTTCTAGAAAAAACTCCTCTTCTTCCCCAGCCAGCCCCTGTGGGGTCCCCTTTACTGGCTCGGGGACTAGGACAGGAGGCAAGACATGTGCATGTTTCCTCAGTAGGATGAAATTTATTTCTCACAGTTCTGGAGACTAGAAGTTCAAAATCAGGGTGCCAGCATGGTCAGAGGGGGGCTCTCATCTAGGTCACAGACTTCTCATCCTGTCCTTACATGGTAGATGGATCTAGGGGTCTCTCTGGAGTCTCTTCTTTTGTAAGACACTAGTCCAGCCGTGGGCAAACTACGGCCCGCGGGCCGGATCCAGCCCGTTTGAAATGAATAAAACTAAAAAAAAAAAAAAAAAAAGACCGTACCCTTTTATGTAATGATGTTTACTTTGAATTTATATTAGTTCACACAAACACTCCATCCATGCTTTTGTTCCGGCCCTCCGGTCCAGTTTAAGAACCCATTGTGGCCCTCGAGTCAAAAAGTTTGCCCACCCCTGCACTAGTCTCATTCATTAGAGTCTTACCTTCATGACTTAAGCACTTCCCAAAGGCACCATCTCTTAAGACCATTACATTGGGCAATAGGATTTCACCATATCAATTTTGGGAGACACAAACGTTCTGACCATTGTGCGATTCAAATTTGCTGTTTCCTTTCACTGAACCTTTCTAGTGAATTTTTCATTTCATTTCAGTTATTGTATTTTTCAACTCTAGAATTTCTATTTAATGAGATATCATAATTTCTTTTAATTTTTTAGACCTGGTTTTCTTTACATTTTTTAACATATTTATAATGCTGATTTAATGTCTTTATTTAGTAAGTATAACTTCTTGCCTTCCTCAACAGTTTCCATTGACTGTGTGTGTTTTTTCTTTTACTATTATGGTCCATGCTTTTCTTTTTCTTTGTGTGTCTTGTAATTTTTGTTGAAAATATGGTATTTTAAATAATACAATGTGGCCACTTTGGAAATCAGATTCTCCCCTCCCCAGGATTTGTTGTTGCAATTTGTTGTAGTTGCTGCTGCTGCTATTTTGTTTATTTAGTAACTTTCCTGAACTAATTCAGTAAAGATTGTATTCTATATCATGTATGGCCACTGAAATCTCTGTTTAACATAGTGATTAGTTAATAATTAGACATAGATTTTCTTAAATCTTAAGCCAGTAAGTCTTCCAGCATTTACCAAAGGGCTTTTGTTTGTGTTTGACATATCTTCTACTCTTAAGCAGGCAGTTTACAACTTTGACTTACCCTTTACTTCTTGCTTGCAGAGAACCTCAAGGTAAACCAGAGGTGAGAGCTGAAGGCCTTCTTGGATTTTTCCTGGGGCTTAGCTCTTGATTGGAAAAGAAAACAAGCCAATAAATTTATTGTAATTTTAAAAACATTATTGTAATTTTTGTGTGAAGTGATTAGCAATAAAGTTTATGAACTGTAATCTCCCACATTAGCCATATTTTATTATTATCAGAATTATATAAAACATGCTTTGTAAATTTTGAGGTGCAATAAGAGGTTTAAACAGTTTGATAGGCATATGTATCTATGTGACAGAAAACACCCTGAGATAATGTGTTTCTTCTGATACAGAGCAGACCTTAGTCAAATATTATGTAATTTGAGACCTTTGCCTGAATAGTCAGTTAATAAGGGCTCTTAATTTATTAGATCATTGAGTATAGTGATTAACAAGCTTGAATTCTGGATCCAAACTGCCTGGATTTGAACCTAGACTTTGCCTCCTTTGTGAACTTAGGCAAAGTACCTACCCTCTCCATGCCTCAATTTCCTTATCTGTAGACCAGAGGCCCAATGCATGAAATTCATGCAAGAGTAGACCTTCCTTCCCCCAGCTGCCAGCACTGGCTTCCTCTCTGTAAAAAATCAATAAAATATATTTTAAAAATATATAGATGTACTATTTAAACATTTGCCACACTGGCACCCGGGACCCAGGCTTCCCTCGCAGCCTTGGCTTCATCTGGAAGATCATCCAGAAGGGCATTTGGTCTAATTAGCATATTACACTTTTATTATTATAGATCAGTGGTCGGCAAACTCATTAGTCAACAGAGCCAAATATCAACAGTACAATGATTGAAATTCTTTGGAGAGCCAAATTTTTTAAACTTAAACTGTATAGGTAGGTACATTGTTATTAACTTAATTAGGGTACTCTTTAGCTGGCCTTTGCTAAAAACGTCCTCAATCTGATTGAGGTACGTTCGCTGAGGTCGACCCCTTCCAACTCTCCCATCCACACTTGTCTTGTATACTTGTCAAACAGGGCACCTAAAAAAATGTTTCATTTTATAATAATAAAGCCACCAACACAAAAGAATTACAATTCTTAAATTGATGACAAAAATACCTGTAGGATTTGTAGCTGGTTGGAAAAATACAGGTAACTTTATGCTTCGAGTAGGTACTTTTGTCACCCACGTGCAATTTGTGGATGCGACTAGCACTAACCACTGCACAATGAGACTGCTGACTGACTGGCTCCCTCAACTCGTGCGTGAATCGCGCGTGCCTCCCCCGCACTGCATATCCTGCGGCCTGCCTGCGCCTCGTCTCCGTCACCTGACTGTCCGACACCCCCCACTTCTTCTAACACCACTTCTTCAAAATAGACTCTCCCAGGCCGAAAACCGACTTCTGCACATGGGTCACGAAGTTTCAATCGCACTGTACGTGCGTGCCTGCATGTGGTATTTTGTGGAAGAGCCACACTCAAGGGGCCAAAGAGCCGCATATGGCTCGCGAGCCGCGGTTTGCCGACCACTGTTATAGATGACAGTACTTTCCCTATTGAGGATTCAGTCGTTACATAAAAAGTCTTTAGATCAGTACCTGACAAATAATATGCACTATACTTATACAGAAGTAGAGAGTATAGTTTGATGAATCTTTTTTTAAAATATATTTTATTGATTTTTTACAGAGAGGAAGGGAGAGAGATAGAGTTAGAAACATCGATGAGAGAGAAACATCGATCACCTGCCTCCTGTACATCCCCTAGTGGGGATGTGCCGGCAACCAAGGTACATGCCCTTGACCGGAATCAAACCTGGGACCCTTCAGTCCGCAGGCCGATGCTCTATCCACTAAGCCAAACCAGTTAGGGCAAGTTTGATGAATCTTGATGAACCTATTGCCATCTTCAACAACTATCAATTCATGGAAAATCTTATTTTGCCTGTAACGCTAATTATTTTGAAGCACATATAAGATATTATATAATCTATAACACATTTTTTAATGTTAAGTATACAATTAACTCTTTAACAATGCAGGGTTTAGGGCAGCCGTGGGCAAACTACGGCCCGCGGGCCGGGATCCAGCCCGTTTGAAATGAATAAAACTAAAAAAAAAAAAAAAAAAGACCGTACCCTTTTCTGTAATGATGTTTACTTTGAATTTATATTAGTTCACACAAACACTCCATCCATGCTTTTGTTCCGGCCCTCCGGTCCAGTTTAAGAACCCATTGTGGCCCTCGAGTCAAAAAGTTTGCCCACCCCTGGTTTAGGGTCATCAACATACGTGCTGTCAAAAATCTGCATATAACTTTTGACTCCCAAAAAATTTAACTACTAATAGTCTACTGTTGACCAGAAGTCTTACTGATAACACAATCAATTAACACATGTTATATGTTAGACATATTATACATTGTATTGTTAAAATAAAGTAAGCTAGATAAAAGAAAATGTTAAGAAAATTATAAGGAAGAGAAAATAAAGTGCTGTGTGTATTTTTTGAAAAAATCCATGTATAAGTGAACCTGTGTAGTTCAAACCCATGTTGTTCAAGAGTCAACAGCTAAAAAACTAACAGCCTTAATATTATCAAATATTGAGTTGATTATTATGTTATAATTAGTTAATATTGTCTCTTAGTTCACTTTTAATATAGAGATTTCCCCCTCCCTCTTTGTCCTCCCATTGTTATCATTTATTGAAGAAACTGTCATTGTACTTTAGAGCTGCGTTGTTCAGTACTGTAGATACTACCTACATGTACATGTGGCTGTTGAGCACCTGAAATGTGACTGGTCCATTTACAGATATTTGTAAATTTAAAATACTCATGTTTCAATGACTTGGTATAAAAAATGAAGTATCTCATTAATTTTACAGCAGTCACTTATGATCCTTTAATTTATTAAAGATTGCAAAATGGTGATCAAATTCTTTTGTTCCTCTTCATGTACTAGCTAGAGTACTTACATAAAGAGAAACCTCCCCAATCAACTATTTGATCACACTTGATTACTACACAAAGTATATATATTTTGCATTGAAAAAGGACAAAAGGTTGATTCTTTCTTCTTAATTACCAGTTTCCAATCATCTCTCAAAAATGATCAATGAGTATTTTTATAATTTTATTATGAAATTATGAATTTAAACATATATTTTTGAAATCCACTACAGTTATTATGCTTATTAATACTCAGATTGTCCCATCATTAGCCAATGGGAGCCTCTTCAAATTGCCTCCTGTCCTAGACATGATCCTAGAAGCCTTTGATAGCTTCCTTGCTTTTTAGTATGACAGAAAGTTCCAGGCCCTGATTCCTTTTAGTGGGAAGCAATATTACAAAGCCACAGTCTGGCTTGCATAATGCTATCTTATTGGTTATTGTTTCTAGGCCTTTTCAGTGGTCAAAGCTAGGAAATACGTTTTTCCTTAAAAATAAAATCTCATAAATTTAGACTATATTTCCAATTCAGTTTTGGATCTATAGAGTTTTTATATAATTTCATCAATATTACATTTACATATTACTTTTCCCATGCCAAATGTATTAGTTCTCAATGACATCAGTATACTAATTTGCTTTCTCTAACACTATACAAACAACAGTTATAAAATAGCATTTATGTCACTACCACCACCAACATGATTACTTACTGAAGCATGTTTTTTGTTATTTGTAGTTTTTTTTCTCCTTTGGTGTGTACCTCAGAAGGAATATCCAGAAAAATTACTGTGTTTTAAAGCCACTCAAAATAGTGTCTTTCTGATGAATGTGTATTCTAATAGCTAGTTTCATTTTTCTTTTAATTTTTACGGATTGCTTTTGTTGTTGGAAACAT